ATACCTGGCTCAACTGAAACGGCTTTTTAGAAAATGGTCATCCATAAAAGAGTTTGGGATTTTAGAATCTACAGAGGAAAAAAAAATAATAATAAAAAGAGAAACCAAAAAGGAAAAAAAACGACGAGAGGAAATAGAACGGTTAGAGATAGGGGAAGCCTGGGAGACTTTTCCATATACCCAAATAATAAGAGGTTTTTTATTAATAACCCAATCAATTCTCAGAAAAAAGATTCTATTACCTTCATTCATAATCGGTAAAAATATCGGGCGTATGCTACTATTTCAAACTCCTGAATGGTCTGAAGATTTAAAGGGATGGAATAGAGAAACGCATGTGAAGTGTACTTATAATGGTATTCCGTTAGCTGACAAAAAATTTCCGGAAAATTGGTTGACAGAAGGTATTCAAATCAAAATTTTATTTCCTTTCTGTCTCAAACCTTGGCACGAATATAAATCGCTAAATTCTCGTGATGACTTTTGTTTTTTAACAGTTTGGGGAAGGGAAACAGAACACCCTTTTGGTCATCCACGACAAAAACCTTCGTTTTTTAAGCCTGTTTTTAAGGAACTTTACAAATTTGTAAAAGTAAAAATTAAATTTTTAAAAAAGTTTTCAAAAAAAAACACAAGTTCAAAAGAAACAAGAACAATACACCCGAGTGTAATAAAAAATGAAAAAGATGATCTAATAAATAACCAGATAATGAATCAACCCTTGAGTAAAATTGAAAAAATTACAGATTGGAAAAATTATTCACCGATAGACAAAATGCAGGCTATCACTCATAGGACAAGTACAATTAAAAAAAAACTAGAAAGAATTACGGAAGATAAGAAAAGGGTCACTCTAGAACTTGATATGAACCCTTACAAAAAAAGTTCGAGATTAGCCTTGTCAAAAAATTTTTGTCAAATGTTGAAAAAAAAAAAAAATAGATTAATATATAAATTTAATTATTTTATAAAATTATTTATTCAAAGAATATCTAATTGTATTTTTTTATATACTATATCTATTTGCCAAATGACTCAAAAAGTCTTTGTGGAATCAACAAAAATGAACTCTCTTTCAAATTCAAATATAAAAACGCATAATAATAAGCTTTATAAGGAAAATTCAGAGAGTTTTGGTGATTTATCCAACTTGTCACAAGCATATGTATTGTACAAAATATCAGAAAGGGGTTTTTTGAACGTACGTAATTTCATATCTGTTCTTCAACAAAATGGAACATCTTTCTTGATTAAAAAGAAAATAAAAGACTCATTTCATACACAAGGAATACTTCCATCTGAAGGAATAAAAAAACAACTTAAGCGGCCTAGAACGAGTCAATGGAAATTTTGGTTAAAAGGGAATTCTCACTACGATTTATCTCCTAATTTCTGGTCTGCCTTAAGATCACAAAAACAAAAATGGAGAAATAGGGCGAATCGCTATCGTAGGTCTAAACAAAAATATTTAGACAAAAGGACTTCCGGTAAAAAATTAAAATTAAATACTTACAGGAAACAAAAGGATGCTAACTCAGTCTTGAATAAAAAAACAAAAGATAATTTAAAAAAATGCTATCGATATGATCTTTTAGCATATCAATACATTCAGTATGAAAAAAATAGTGGAACCCCTCCAGGAGCTAAACGGGAAGCAATTTCTTATCATTACAAGATGTCACAAAACAACTTGTTTGCGATAACGAAAAATATTCCTATCACTAGTTTCAGAGGAAAAATAGAAAGGTTAAATATTCCATATCCAAAAAAAGATGTCGATAGAAAATATTTGAATTGGAAAAATATTGATTTTTCTCTTAAAAAAAAAGCGAATATTGAGTCCTGGATCACGGGTAATTATAACAATACTCAAAATACTCCAATTTTCACTTACAATTATCAATTAATTGATAAAATGGAAGAAATTTTGAAAATTGAGCAAATTTTTAAAAACGAAAAAGATCCTTTTGCTCTTTTGATTCAGAAAAATACCGAAATGAATCGACTCCATTCTAGAAATTCTTTATTGGATTGGATGGGACTGAATGAAGAAATACTCGACCGTCCATTAACGGCTGAGGAACTTTTGGTTTTCCCAGAATTTGTGTGGTTTGTTAATTTATATAAACTGAAACCATGGATTATACCAAGCGAATCACTTATTTCAAATTTGAATCTTAATGAAATGACAAGTCAAAAGACCGGTAAAACTCAGAAAGATAAAAAAGATAAAACTGAGAGTAAAAAAAAAGATAAAGCCGAGGGTCAAACCAAAAGTGAACCTGAGGGTCAAACCAAAGGTGAAACTCAGGGTGAAACCAAAGGTAAACCTGAAGGTGAAACCAAAGGTAAACCTGAAGGTGAAACCAAAGGTAAACCTGAAGGTGAAACCAAAGGCGAAACTGAAGGTGAAACTGAAGGTGAAAAGAAAAGTCAAACTGAGATAGAACTAGAGTTATTCATGAAAAACTATTTATTTTTTCAATTTAGAGAGGATTTTACTTTAAATCAAGGCCTTTTCCAAGATCTCCAAATCTATTGTCTCTTGCTTAGAATGATAAATCGAAAAAAAATGATGCTATCATGGATTCTAAGGGAAAAGTTAAATTTGGGTCTAATGCCACAGATGGATCAGAAAGAGAGTGTTCCAGATTCAAAAAGAAATGTTCCAGATTCAAAAGAGAGTGTTCCAGATTCAAAAGAGAGTGTTCCAGAATTTTTAAAAAAGACGGGATTTTTGGTCGACCCCCTTCCGCTGTCTATCAAACCAAATGGAGAATTTCTTATGTATGAAACGATAGTTATTTCGTTGGTTCATAAGAGTAAACAAATTCTTAATAAAGAAGACGTAAAACAAAGAATAATTCGCGCTCGAGAGAACAATAATTGTGATCCGCTTCTTATTGAAAATATTTTATCATCTAGGCGTCGTAGAGAATTAAGAACTCTAATTTGTTTCAATTCACACAAATGGAATGGCGTGGATGCAAATTCTCTAGTTTCCAACAAAAATAAAGTTTGGGAAGAAAGCAACCCTGGGCCTAAGGATCAAAATAAATTAATTGAATTTTTTCTTTGGCCTAATTATCGATTGGAAGATTTAGCTTGTATGAATCGTTATTGGTTTTATACTAATAATGGGAGTCGTTTCAGTATGTTAAGGATCCATATGTATTTACCATTGAATTTAAATTGGTGGAAATTTAATTGATAGTAGTACTATCTACCCTGTAGCAGGGTAGATGGTAGCAGGTTAGATGAAAACCAATATGGACACATACCCTATTTTATACCTCATTTTAATTTGGATCTAACTGAATTGAGGATACCATATATCTATCTAGATCTATATAGATATATTGTACCTCATTAAAAGAATATTAAGTTGAAAAAATTCACTTTGATTTTATTAATGAACCCTAAAAGAAAGGGTTTTCTTTTGATTTGAATTGATAGACTTAGTTAGAAGAATTCCTTTTTAGCAATAAATGTCTTTCACATCCAGTGATAACCTGTAAATCATTTGAAATGGCAGTTCCAAAAAAACGTATTTCGAAAGCCAAAAAGCGTATTCGTAAGAACATTTGGAAAAGAAAGACTATTGAGGTAAGATTAAAAGCTCTTTCATTAGCAAAATCTCTTTTAACGGGTAAGTTTCAAAGTTTTTTTTACAAAAAAAATAAGAAAACATTGGACTCATTTCTGTCAAGTTGATTTATTCTATAATATAGAATAAAAGTAAATAATATTATCCTTTTTTTCTTTATTTTTTGTTCGTTCGTTTTAGTTACTAATCAATTATTTCATATCTATGAAATGAATCTAGAACTTAATTATAAAAAATTATTTTAAATGCATATTATATATCAATGAAGGGAGTTCATTTAGTTTATGATAAAAAACTTACAAAACAGAGGTTCCGTTGAATTTCAAGTATGGAATTTCACCAATAGAATACACCGGCTTACTTCCCACTTGAAATTGCACAAAAAAGACTATTTATCTCAAAAAGGTTTACGTAAAATTTTGGGGAAACGACAACGACTTTTAGCTTATTTATCAAAAAAAAATAAATTCCGCTATAAAGAATTAATTGATAAATTGGAGATTAGAGAGACAAAAACTCATTCATTTTGAAGTTGCATAGCTTTTCAAACCTATTATAGAGGTAAATTTAGAACAACAATATGGTTACTGAAACAATTAAAAAAGAATAGCTTGGGGTAGTGAATAGAAAGACATCATGTCCTTTTGTCTATTGATTCTTACTGTATAAATTTGAAGGGAGTATTTATTTAAAACTTTAAAACAATAGATTGAGTTAATTAAAAAAAGAATCCTTATTTACCCTATTAGGTAGTTTGTAGGTAGTTTGCGTAGTTATAAAAAAATGATAATATTAAAACATAAAATAATTTTTTTTTATTTTCAAAACCAATCCAGAAATCTATTGATTAGAATCCTTCTGAGAATTCATTGAGTCATATAGTATCTAAAAACCAAGTATCTTATAATTTTATATTGGATAAAAATAATATTTGGAGGATACTATATCGATAATTCATAAAGTTTATAAATTTATTCGTCCAATGGCACATTCTGTAAAGATTTATGATACATGTATAGGATGTACTCAATGTGTCCGAGCCTGCCCCACCGATGTTTTAGAAATGATACCATGGGACGGATGTAAGGCTAAACAAATTGCTTCTGCTCCGAGAACAGAAGACTGTGTAGGCTGTAAAAGATGTGAATCCGCCTGCCCAACAGATTTCTTGAGTGTTCGAGTTTATTTATGGCATGAAACAACTCGCAGTATGGGTCTCGCTTATTGATCTGGTCCAGAAAAGTATATTTGAATTCATTCTATTTTTATTGAACACCCGTGCTCTCAAATAGGAAATATTTTTATTTGAGAGCACGGGTTTCACAAATTTTTAGCTTTTCACGAAGTAAAAAATTAATGTCTTTTTTTATGTTCGCGAAAATGAACCATAAGT